AGAGTTGTTGTTATAGTTGTAGTTGTTACTTGATTTTTCTTATTATAATCAGAATTTTTAAAGTTATAGAACTGTAATAAGTCTGTGAAATTACAGTAATTATTGCTGTTTACACTGATAAAAACTGTATTTGAACAGTTTACCAATGCTTATACACTGATAAACAACATTTATTCAACGTTTCTGTTGTGAAAACTTCCATAATTATACAAGATATCTTTCAATTAACAAACAAATCCATGTAAAATTACACAACAAATACACAATTTTTTCATAATTTTGGAAATGTTTTAACAGTATTAAACTTGAATTTAACAGTTTAATCTATTAATTAAACAGTAAATATCTGCAAAATGATTTACAGATTTTTAACGTTATTTTACATTTGACATGTAAATTCAGTCTATTTTTGTAATTTTATTAATATCTTCATATATTTAAAAAAAAATACTGTAATCTGTAAAATAAACAAGAAAAAACCCATAAAATTACAGGTTTTTATTACAGTATAGACTTCTATATATATTAATAATAAAAAATAACAATATATTAATAAATAATAAATCCATCTGCCTCTAATTGGGACTTTTAATTGAAGTTTTATTGTAACTTTATGTTGATTTTAATGTATTTAATTAATCTAAATGTGATTTATTCAGCGGGCACTATGAGCACAAGTACTGTATGCTGTTCAAAGCAGCTTCAGTTATAGTTTTTGGTAAATTCAGTATTAAATATAATGAGATAAGATGATTTTAGTGGAGAGTTTAATACAAATTCTCGACTTGAATATATTTTTTAAAAATATTTCAGAACAAATTAGATGCCTGAATTATATTTTGTGACAGAAACAATCTTTTTATATAACAGAAGAAAGGATTCATGAATAATAATATATATACTTGTACTTTTTAGCACATCCAAATGCAGTACGCATTATGTGTTTCTGAGGTGGTGCAGACAAAATGATGTTTCTTATGTCCAGTGTTTGTTTGTTTTGGAAGAAATAAACTGTGTATTATGAAACTGGGGTTGGTTGTAATTCATGTAAGTACAATCAGAGAAATGTACTTTAAGTTTAATTAAGAGTTTGACAGCAGAGGGCGACATTTATCACCAGGAGGGTTCAGCTCGTTCCTCTTTAGTGTGAACTCGATCATACACTTGATTTAAGTGTGTAAAGATATTTCATTTGAGTCGAAGTGACTCAATTATTTATTGTTGAGGTAACTTGGGTGAATTAAGTTAATTGGACCAATTTAATTTAGTTAATATTCAACATTTATCTGAATAAAGTCACTTAAATGCATCTTTATACAAATGTTACCACTCACGTTGAATTTACTCTTCCACTGAAGCAAATTATTACATTACCTGTCCAACTATTTATAATTAATTGATCAAAATGGTAGCCAATTAATTTTCTGTGGTTTTTTTTTATGTGATTAACATCAAATCTTTACACTTTGGTGGATTATTAAGAATGAATTGAATACATTCTAGTTCATTTGGTGATTAATACTGATCTTAATCCTAATCCTGAACTATACAGCATTATAATACTTATATTTTTATAATAATATAAAGTCTAATTCAAGAAAATAATACAGTGGAACACAACAAAACTTAAAATACTCTGAACAACTGTTGTGAAGGATTAATTTATTATTTTTTGAATCTATTATTAAGTATGATGAAGCTTGACAGGAGTTTAAATGGAGGACAGCAAAACAAAAATTTCATTGTCAGTTTCACCAAAATCACAACAAGCATTAAACCTACCGGTGGTTCCTGAACGCACCACCGCACATCGGGATATTTCTACACTGTAGTTACTATTTATGAGACAATACGTTTGTAATTTTTGGTTTATAACACACATCAACAGATACTTTTTCTCTTTACATGAATCTCCATCTTCTGGGAAATGAAGGACACATTTAATGAGTCTCTAACATCTTCACAGGAGAAATTACAACAAGAAGAGATTATCTATACCCCATCGTAACGTCATAAAGTCTTTAAAATCCACCTGGTAGAGGAAATGTTTCTGCTGTTGACTCACTCGCTTCCCATTATTCCATTATAAAGCACTTTGTTGTTATACTTCCATCCTGTGTGTGTGTGACTCAGTGGACATAAAGACGCTGAAGATGACTCATAATGGACGTACAAAATGTATTTACTGATGTCAACCAGCAGGACCTTTTTAATCCTGGGACCCCAATTTCTGGATAAAAGTCGATCTGGGGACTATACTGTTTAAAGGAACTGGTGTCCTCTTTGTACAATGCAATGTATTATATCTTCTCCTCTGAAAATCCCTTTAATAACCACAAACCCTTTGGAAATGTTACATAGAACACGATCAATGAAGATCCTTTGTGCAGTTTTATGAGCCTCTTTAAGGTCCAGTGTGCAGCATTTAGTGGCATCTAGTGATGAAGTTTCAAACTGCAACTAACTCCTAAAAAACTCCTTAAATTGACACAGCTAAAGTCAGAAAAAGAGAGAGCGGCAGCAGAAGTTACAAATGAGCTTTGTAGAAATTGCGTAAGGAAGGTTTCTCGTGCGTTAGGAGCGTTTTATTGATGAGGAAACACCGGACAGCAGGAAGCAGGTGACTCACTGGACCTGCCTCTACGTAGAGGCAGGTCCAGTGAGTCACAAAGCAAAAGACAGGAGGAGCAGGAGGAGCAGGAGGAGCAGGAGGAGCCGGGTAACAAGACTCTGGGAGTTTTTATACGTTACTTAAAGAGGTACTCCACCTTAAAACGTGTCTGTTGAGCTGTGAACTGAATTATATGACGGTACTGTGATGAAACACATCAGTAATACAGACTTCTGTTGCACCTTTAACCAAGAGTGGATCCGGTTTTGATTGGACTTAAAAGATGCTTGAGTAAAATGTTTCATTATTTTGAGATTTTAATGAGAAACTTTCTCAAAATTTTGACCTATTATCTCAAAATAATGAGTTAATATCTCAAAGTAATGACTTAATATCTCAAAGTATTGACTTAATTGTTCAAATAATGACATAATATCTCAAAATAATGACTGTTACAGACTGTAACTGTCTTCAAGGCTGATTAAAATGCCGTCCCTGTAGTCTTCCACATCATAATGAAGACTTGTTGTAGTCCTCCTGGGGGAGATATCTGAATGAGGATGATGGTTTGGTAATTTTTCCTCCATAATGAGATCTGCTAAGAACTATTATTTGCTCATTTAGTGTGAAGCTGAGCTGAATAGCTGCTTTAGACAACAAACAAATCCATGAAAAATTACAAAACAAAACCAAAAAGACTTAATTGTCACGAATTTAACATCATTGTAGAAATGTTTTTTACAGTATTAAACTTGAATTTAATATTAAAATCTATGAAATAAACAATAAATATGTAATTGTTATATATATGTTATTATTGTGGAAAATCCAATAAATCCTTGTTTAAAAAAGGCTTTTATTGTGAAAATTTTGCAGGAATATGATGCGGAAAACAAACAAATGAGCCGTTTTATCTACAGACGCATAAGGTCGGCTTCCATAGAGGCCACCTTGTTGAACCACCATCTTTATATGGTGGCTCAGAGTGGACAAACACTGGATCTACATAGGGCCTTTCTAGTTTTTTTTGCGCATTTCACATCTACTGCGTTTTATTCTGCAACCAGGTGCCACTAAATCCTTCACACTGGTCCTTTAAGGCTCTAATTAATATAATAACTTTAGATTTTAGCTGCTCGTGCTCGCTAACTGTGCTGTTTGGTTTAATATCCAAACTGCAAACAGAACAACTTCCATCTTTCTGTTTCTCCCAGTAAAAACATGAACTGGTCACATTAAAACGCTCTCATGAAGCCCTTTTTCTTTCATCTTCCTGCTTTCAGTCGGCAGCTCTCAGAACTAATGTCTGTACTTTATCTACAACATAAAAGAAAATACACTTTCTCTCTCCTCCTGCTCTCTGGATGCCTTAGATCTGCAATCTTTGAATGTGGACACAAAAGATCCAGACTGCAGGTGAAGAATCTACCTGATGACTGTATATATATTATATATATATATATTTATATAATATATAATGACAAACCCACAGATAATTAACACTAATTCTGCAGTTTATTTTAGCTCTATGGAGCATTTTAGTGTCTTTTAGCTCATTGTTTTGGTTTTCTGGCTCGTGAACTCTGCTCACATTGAGCTCGTTTCCAGTTGAGGTCGGTTGACACTAACTTTATGATGTGAGTGTATTTATGTGAGATGTTTTCAGTTTGTCCAGCTCACAAGTTGCTAAAAAAAAATTCAGTTAATGAAGCTTTAAATGAGCTTTTACTGTAAAGTTAATTAAAGGAGCTGTGACGGTTTCTGTTGTCTGCGTCCCAACTGGCTTCTACTGAAGATATAAAAACAACTTATAAATATATAGTTTCATTTGAAGCAACAAAATACCATTAGATAGATTTATTATTATTATTATTATTATTGTTGTTGTTGTTATTTATACATATATAGTAGTAGCAGTTATTTTCTTATTTATTTGATTATATTAATATTATTATTAGTAGTAATCTAGTAATATATAATAGTAATCATGCAGGTGATGCTGCCAAACAAACAAGGAGAAGTATTATTATTATTATTTATAATAGTATTATTATTACTGTGAATAGTATTAGTAGTAGTAGTAATAGTAATAGTAATATAATAGAGGTAATGTTTCCTTTAAGGGGCGGTGATGCAGCCAAACAAGGAACCAACGTAATTTCCCAGATCTTTATTCCCACTTTGAGGAAGTGTCTGGTTGAGTCGCAACGTTACAGACAGACAGACAGACAGACAGACAGATCGATAATGGGTAATCGATGATGTTCGGGGACTCGGGGAGTGAAATGAAGCCTTCAGGATGCTTCTGATCGTCTTCTGCGTCCATCTCATCGCTGCAGGTACTTTAATGTCAGTCTGTAGCCGTCGGTGCTATTGAGCAACACACAGGCCTCTAACATGAGTCTGCTGTTAGGGAAAGGGAAGCCAGACTCCATTTAAAAAAATCACTATTTAAAGTTTCTATCACGCAGAGTTGAGTCTAATGCCACGTATTATATTATCTAATGCTGTTATTGATTTATATAAGGTGTAATATCGGCGCGAGTGATTCCATCAAACCAGACCGCATTTAAAAATTCACAATTTAAAGTTTCTTTCATGGAGGGTTGAGTTAAATGTTACATAGAAACGGATCTAATGTTAGAACTAACTCATTTAAGGTATTGTAGTTAAATCGGCATAAGTTACTCCATTTTAAAACCTCACAATTTAAACACACACACACACACTGGGCTCTACCATTAGTTATAAACGAAACGTTCTCAGTTAACGTTAATGGATGGCGTTTAACCTAACAAGCCAGACTCCATTCAAAAACTCACACTTTTAAGTTTCTTTCATGCATGGTTGAGTTGAATATCACATAGAACCTGATATAATGCTATAATTAATCAATAAAAGGCATTGTGGAAAAATCGGCACAAGTTACTCCATCAAACAACACTTTAATTTAATTCAGTTTAATTTGTATTGTGCCAAATCATAACAGACGTTATCTCAGGACACACTGCGTAGAGAGCAGTTCCCACACTGAAACTCTATTTAAAAACTCACACTTTAAAGTTTCCTTCTTGCACAGTTGAGCTGAATATCACATAGTTTATGATCTAATGCGATATTTGATTCATGTCAGGCACTGTGGTAAAATCGGCACAAAGGAAATACGTCAAACAAACACAAAGTCTTTTTGGCTGGTCACTACATTTCCCCCCCACAATTGTAGCCCTTGGTGGTGGAAGTTAACTGTATCATGTGTATAAATCAAGAAAAGCAACACTACATTTTCTTCTACTGCAAAATATTCTAGTTTTATCTGAGAAGTTTTGCACAGTTTCTTTCTTTCCATTAAGTTTTATCATCAGAAACATCACTTCTGACTGGCAGCTTACAGGAAACAGAGATGATTGATGTTCTAGTTTCAATCTTTTGCATAAAACAGATAAGAGTTGTGTAGTTGTGTCTAATCAGTGCCAAAAAGTTCCCTCTCGCACATTAATGTCACTGTAAAGGTTCACTGAGGAGCTTAAATCAAACCTGGATTACATCTTTAGTGTAGGAAGATGATAAAGTGGGCTGGAAATTATGGTTAAACCCGTAAACGTATGCATCCAAACAACAATGGTGATGGTTAAAAAGAAAAAGGTCAGATTTAATCAGCACAGTTGCAGGAAATTTGCACAAAGTGTCGCATTTTCTCATCCGCTGATCTGTCCCAGTGCTGTCTGAGGCGCCACCGCCACCGCCGCAGAACATCACGAAACTGAGTGGAGAGTGGAAACTGACATGGACTCCTGCTGGCGAGGAGAGGAACGTCACCTACACCGTTCAGTACAGCGGCTTTGATAGGTGAGGCGCTTATTGCATCCATCTCCTCTGTAGCTTTCCCCCTTTATTTGTGCTTTTAGTTTGTTAAATCTCTTCTTGTTCCCGTTCGTCGTCCTCAGCTCCAGAGAGAACTCGTGGTCGAATGTACCAGCCTGCGTCCAGATACCTTCCACCACCTGCAATGTCAGGTTCACCAAAGCTAAGGGCGAGCACGGCTGCGTCCGGCTGGGCGTGCGAGCCGAGAGTCGAGGCCTGGAATCCAGCCTGGAGGAAGCCTGCAGCCAACACGGTAAGAAACCGAGCCCATGTGAACGGGGAAGTGTGATAACGTTGCGTTTACACTGGCAGGGTTCCCACACATCCTGGAAAACCTTGACATTTAAAGACGAGTTTTCCAGTCATAAAAAAAAACGCCTGGAAATTTGCTTGAAATTACCAAAAATTCTGGAAATAATCGCTGTTTGTTGTAATTTAGCTCGCCTTTGTAAACCTGGGTGCATATTTAGTTTAAACTAGTTGGTAGCTGCGCCGGTTCCTACGCATCCTGGAAAACATGGAAAACCGGTGAATTTAAAGACTAGTTTTCCTGGATATTAGCTTTACAATAATTTATGTGACCAGGAAAATGTTAATAGCATTTTTGGCTCCTCGCCTACGTAAACCTGAGTGCGTACAAAGCTGGTTTAACAGACGTGGAGTGGAAAAGGGCTCCTTTTATCATTCCAGGTCCGGTGTTTGTTCACACCACACGTGAGGTGAAACGGACTTGCGGCGATCTTGTAATGAACCTGAGACCCTCCATCATTAAAGGAGGAGGCATAAAACTGGAGTTAAAGTCAGTGCTAGGCCTACCGGTACATTATAAGACTGAGCTGTCCTCAATTGTCAGGAAAAACTCCTTGAAAATGATTTCTTAAAAAGCATGGGAACCCTGATTGGACACTATTTATACACTAAATTTAGCACCAAGCAGAAACACATACGTTGCTAAAGTGGTGAAACCCAGAGGCGTCTGAGCGGTCAGGAAGTGACTGATTTCAGACTCGCATTTGCTCTCTGCCTATGGCTGAGAGTCGATGTATGTACAGTGTGTATGCACGCTGTGACTTTCTCTCCTCAAGTGTGATTCTAGGTGTTAACCAGCCTAACCACATGTGAACCACGTGGTGCGACGTGTTAAAGAGAAACCCACAGCGAGGGTTGGCGAGCGCCGCTGCAGCCTGAGAGGTGACGGAGGGCCTCGCTGTCCTGATTCTGTGTTTGTTGTGCTCTTCCAGTGGACTCCTGCAGTCCTGCAGTGAGAATGACGGCGCAGCCCGGCTCCCTGACCGTGCACCTGAGCAGGAAACACGAGCTGGCTAACGAACACGCGGACCACGCCAAACACAGGATTTTCTTGGGCAAGGAAGGGGAGCCGCTGATGGTGAGAAACCGATGTTAAAGTGTTTCAAACCGGTTTGATATTCAGCCCGGACTGGACCAGTGATACATGATTTCCTGTTGCACGTGACTCAACATAATGAAACTTAAAGCCCCGGTGAAATGAAAAATGTATTTTTAACTGTTTAAATATTGAGTTTATTTCTGTCTTGTGTTTTTATTGAGTTGTACCAAGTTGTGTTGTGAGCTGTGTCACATGTAAAGTAGCAGAGCTGCTGTTTAAAAGCTAACACAGAAGCAAAATAAGAATAAACACACGTACTGGTGTCAAAATAGAAGATAAAATACGAAACAGAAAACCAAACTGAGTAACGAGAACCGTGTTGCCTTCATGAAACTCAAATTCAATTGCTCTTTTCCAAACCTTTCTGTAATCTAATAGAATTAGTGATTCTTTCCATTATAAATGTATCATACATAGTGTAAATACAACAGTCAGCTTCTGGTTTTAACCACTTTATACTGATGGCTCTCACGGATGTTAAAGCTGATGTTAAAGGAAACTTTACGTGGTGGCAGAGCGCCGAAATACAGTCTGAAACATGGGCTCTCCTGTAAATATGATCTCTAAAATATTGACTCCCGGCCTAAAATGATTTCACGGCAGCTTTTGTAGGAAATTGCGATGCATGCAGCAGAAAATGAAAGGGTCAGTGTGAGACGTTGTTGACGCTCACGTCTGCACCTTCTAGAAAGGAGGAAGTGAGTTTGGTGATGTATGACTTTCAGCGCAGGAAACCGCGATTGGTGCAATCTGCGGGAGCGTTGCGATGATTGGACAACATTGTGTTAATTGTTGCACTCGCAGCTTCCTGGAGGAACTGCAGTGTGCTGTTTTTTAGCCTGCGTTTGTATTGTTTTTTGCGTCTTCATCATGATGGATTATGTGTAAACTTAAATACTATTGATGTATGAAATGTGGAAGCCCAATATCATTAACCATTAACTTCAGATCAGAAAATATCACTAAATGCTTCCAGTACTTTGTTTTAACTGGCTAATATTCCAGGCTTGGAAACAGGAAATATCAGCCAGTGTTGAGGTAAAAATACAACTCAAATGAGATAAAAGTTAGAAAAACAAGTGAAATTATTCACATTTTTGTTATAAATGATGTTTGCTGTGTTAAAACTGAATGTTTAGAGCAACATAAAGCAGAACAAAGCCACTGGGCCAGTCCCGAGACCACACTGTTGTTTTGTTGGTGTGTTGACTCGTGACTATGTCTATGGTTTTAACCCAAACACCACTCACTCTTGCAGGCCTATACAGACGACGTCTCTTCGGTGTCCATCTACGGGCTGCAGGAGGGACAGCGTTACTGTGTGAAGGTGCAGTACATGGTCATGGACAGCCTCGTTGGACTGCCCAGCTGTCCCAAGTGTGAGCTCATCCCAGAGTCAAGTGAGAGCATTTTTATAGTCGTTTTTGCCACAAATCAGTTTAATGGTAAACAGAGTCGATATTTGTATGGTACTGCATCTGCATCCATTCAATGATCTATTAATTATTGAATATCTGAGCTTCCTTGAACGCACCAGAGAGCAATAGTTTAAAATAATTCCTGCAGACGTTCTTGGGTATGTATGGAAGCCCAAGTCAGATAATAAGTCAGAAAACATTGAGAAAGTTTCTCATTATTTTGAGATATTAAGTTTCTCATATTCTCATCAGTACACAAAGCCAGTTTAGTCTTATACAACAGTAGCTTTAATTATTTATAGTTGAACATGGGAAGCTTTCATTATAGAGGAGACTAAAGAGTGAGATATTAGGTGTGGTAAAAAATAATAAAAATCACATTAGATTTCCTCTTTTATTCTGTTGAGTTAATTAAAGTTAATGTACTCTTTCTACCGCATTACACTCTTAAGACAAACTCAAGATTTTAAAACACCTCTAGAACAACATGTTATTAATTTCAGATCTTCATAAGTTTTTATACTAACGTTTTCTGGACCACATGCTCTCCTTCTACAGTTTATTGGTGAGGCGAGATTCGTTCGGGGTATTTTTAGTGCAGTATTCCTTTAATGTGCTTCAGCCTAAATACCAGCAGTACAAATGCTTCTGGAAGTGTGTAATCTGATGTGTTTTAATGAATCGGTTGCAAACTTTTGTAGTTTTGAAACTCATAAATCCACAACATGACTATTTGTGTTTTTACAGAAAAGTCAAACCAAGCACAGATCATCGTACCGGCGGTGATTGTCCTCGTCCTGGTCATTCTGACGCCGATGGTAGCGTACGTCCTCATCTTCCACTGTGAGAAAATCAAACAGCTGCTGCGGCCGTATGAGAACCTACCCATTGTGAGCACCGACACACTCTCCATCCACACTGTATTATCCAACAGTATCCTGCACAAAAAGTGATGAATCTGTCCACGCTTTCTAAAACGGGAAGTCGGTGGAGACACTTTTGTTGTTTTCCAATGCGTCGGTTCATCCCGGCATTGTTTTCGTGGACTTTCCTACCACTAAGGCTCAGCTCTTTGAGAGTTTGTATCCAAACCATATTCTGGAAGTAGAGAAACTTACATCCCAAACAACGGAACCAGAAAGGGTCTGTTGTGATTGAGGCGTTTTTATTCTATTTAGTCTTTTTAAACTCATTATAAATCAGAATATTAGGCTCCATATAAACACAGCTAGTGAAAGCATTCATACAGTTTTAGTGTCACCGTCCTGGATTATCAAACTGATTCCAAACAGCCGACACGATGTTCCTGCTGGGGACAGGAAGTTCTTCAGGTTTTATTTTAATAAAGTTTTTCTTTTCTCCTCTAGTTCCTTGTGGACTCGTTTTATGTGCATTACCCCCTCCCCATCAGCAGCCCCATCGAGGAGAACTGGGACGTCATTTCCCGCATTACCACGGAGTAGTTCTTCCTCCTCTTCCTCCTGCACTACGCCTCCTCTGTGTGGGGATCGGACCCCTTGAGGATCGACTGCAACCTGCACGCTCTGCTTCTCCCCCGAGCCCAGACTCTCTGCCGCTGCCATGGACTTAAAGGAGAAGTGATTTTTAAAGTGCAACTGCTGGGAGGAGAAAGTCTAATCGGATCTACATTTATCTTTAACTCCAGGAGGGGGGAAAAAAATCGAAAGGGAATAATCAAAAGGCCGAAGCGTTTGGCAGACCACTCGAGTTAATAAGCTCCACTCTGCGTTCTTAACCCCCCCACAGTCACAGCAAATGTATAATCTATCCACTGAGGTCCTGAAAGGTTTTCACAGAGATGTGTTTGCCAAATTGAGCTTGCTGTAAGAGAGAATTTGTAATAAGTGCACTTGTCGCCCTACGGAGAATCAGGAACTCATACTTGACACTAGTTTTATGGAAGGAAGCTTCTTCCATTTGAGCCAAGGCTTACTGCTGACTCTTAATAAAACAAATTACACTATGTTGTCCTTTTTATAGCTTTTTATAGAGCGTGCCACTTCCAATTTCTATGCACTTTCTAATAACGTTCCCCATTGTGCTCTTATAGGCATTAATGAACACCTGCAGCATTAATTAGATCATAAAAAACAACCCACAAAGACGCAACCACGATCCAGTACAAGACCGAAGGAGGTTTGATAACCTCCAAATTCTCGAGATTGTTGTAATCCGGGAGCCGGAGCCGGAGCCGGATCTCGAGGGCTAGTTTGGTGTCAGATTTATTACATTATATTAATTTTTAAAATAACGTGTTAAAAAATGAATGTAATGACCTGATTAAGTCACATTTTAGACTGAGTGATGGGCTTAGGTTAATTAAAAGAAAATTATACTTCGTTTTTACATGTTTCTATCCAGTGTTTACTAATGTGCCATAATTGTATTTTTGAGTTGTAGTAATTTGGGGCCTTTTCAATGCAAATATAGATCTGATTAAATCAGCTGTGATTATTTCTCTAGATCTGCCCTCGTCTGAGAGGAAATGTTATCTTGAACTCTTTATTAATCATTAATCAATAAGCACGTGACCTTAAGCCGTCCTTCTGTGATCTTTCACCTGCGTCTTTCAACCGCCGCTTTCCGTCCTATCTTATCTTTACGATACAAATTTAATGATTATAATCTCTATATGTGAACAGCGGCCTGTTAGACGCTAACAGAAACATCGGTAATGATCCTGAATGTGTCAGAACAACCAGCAAGGAATCAACACTGTAACATCACACAGTCTGGTTGTTCAAAACACGGAATAAATAACTTCTAACTCCACTGAAACTAATCCTGATGGACTGATACGATGGATGATGGATAACGTTAACAGTTACTGACTAATTAACTGGATACAAACTGGCTCCTCTTCCTCCGTTTCATTCTTCTCCTGTCGCTGCCTGAACCCACGAGTCTTCATCCCCAGCCAGAGTCCTGGTTGGAGCCGCTGGACATCAGCCGGCCTCCGTCGAAGGCTCCCAGTCTGGGTACAGACAGCTAACGAGCTAGCAGCTAGTACGGTTAGCACTTGCTACACTGCACATGAGTGCAACAATCACCTTAACGGAGTTTGATGTTGTTTTTGTGACTTGTTTCGACTATTAGGGGGCAGCTCTTAGTTATGGGTCTTCATATTTGCTTTTAAAGCACACTGAACCCTCTTCTGGCTCCAGTTGGACGGACGTTTAGCAGCTCGGTTTTCTGCTAAACGTCCAACCAGTCGAGACTTTCTACTTGCCATTTGTCTGCCTTGCTGTGATTCTAACTCAGTGGTTCTCAAACTACAGGAGGAACATAAGGAGTGGGACAACGCTTAATGAATGTATGTGGGTAAAATCAAGAGTTTGCTGATGATGGTGTGTTTTAAAGCACTAAAAATCAACTTTTTAATTAGCTTTGGTTCCTCTATCATTGTTAGTGATTGGTATAAAATTGCAAAAGGGGTGGGACGTGAAAGTTTTTGGCTTCTGGAGCTTCCAGAAAAAGTTTGGGAACCACTGACCTGCATGAAAACAAGTGTTTCTGTCTTTAACTTGGTAATTTAGTGGTGTGGATCTACAATCATGTGTGTCAGTGAGTTGAATGGAGCAGGGTTTTTTGAACGTAGTTTTTCCAGGTCTGAAACTAACACACAATAAATGTGAATTCACTTTCACAACAGTCATCCACTTGTGTCTTTTAAAGTTAATCTAAATATCAGTTCACCTAAATCTAGGGCTGTAACTTATTTTCATTATTTTCATAATCTATTGGTTGTTTGCTCCATAAAATGTCCATCAAATATCTTTTGGTCCAAAGATATTCAGTTTCTAAAGAAACCAGAAAATATTCACAGTCAAATGTGTATGACGTAAAAATTTTGATTTAAATTAAATGTGAGGCTCAATCTTTACTGTATTCTCAAAAATCTGCCATTTTGCATATAATGAGAACTTAAAAAAGGTTCCAGTGTCGAGGATTTAGTGGTGTCTAATGCTCAAAGGAAGGGGGCCGTTTTGATTTTCCGACATGTTCGAAAGGGCGAGCTGTATTCAGTTGGTTGCAATCTGCAACTTCACAGTTAGATGGCACTAATTCCTACACACTGCTCCTTCAAAAACCCACAACAAGGAACTTTTGTGTTTCCACCGCCTCGTTTATAGAAACTGTCAATCTTCTCTCTGATGGTTTTATGTTGGTCATACAGAGGTTTCAGTATTAAATTGAGTTTCATAACTAAGTAAACTTAAAGTAATACTGGTAACACTATTACTACTTTTAACTCTTATTCTGAATATTTAGTTTCTTTTATGAAGCCTACATCAGACTTATGACTCACAGAGCACGACAGAGTATGATGACGTCTTCTTGTAGTTTTGCTTGAAAAGTTAAACAATAAATATATAAATACAGAAAATAGCACAACTTTTTTAATGTGTGTAGGAAAATATTAAAGCTATCTAGTCAAGACTGCTGGATTTTGGAGATTATTGCAGCCTAAAATGCTTTATTTCCTTACAGTTTTTTCCATGTAAAAAAAAAAACAATATTTTTAGTTTAGCATTTATTTTGCAAAGAAAGTGCAAAATTGCATTGCATAATAAATTAAAAAACGACGGGAAGGACAGGAAAAAAAGGATTCTGTAAGGTATTATAATCAATAATCAAAATAATGACTTAGTGATACTGAGTCATTATTTTGATAGTTTCTTATAATAACTTATAGAAATGGACTTCCATAAAAACAGAAGGCAACTTGTTCCAGTGAGAATAATCAGCTGACTGTGTGTTAACTGTAATAACTTCCTGGAGGAACCAAATGTTTTTTTTTTGTTTTTTTTAAAGGATTAACAGATTGTCCAGAACTTCTCCAAATAAAACCTTTTTCTTTATTTTTCACATGTTCGAAGCTCTTGACAAGTCAGACAGTCGATTTAAAAATGTGTCAGGAAGACGGGGAAGTAACCTCGAATTTCCCACTACCCCCGTCTTATTTTTACTCCATGCAAGTCAAAGCTTTTTGGGTACAAGATCTTCAGAAAAACAGCCTGTTTTCATGGGTCTACATGTGAAAGCAAGGAGTGTAAAGTCCTTACAGTCTTATACTGTTTACCGCAGCGGTCTCTTCGACAGCTTCACAACATTTGTTCGATACTTAAATACTTAAAATGGCTAAAACGCAAAGTATGCAGAATACTTACATCGCACTTTACAGGACAGTTTCTGGTAGAAACAAAGAGCAAGTACAAGAGGACAAAACGGACAAAAAAAACCACACTTCCTCCTGAGGCAGAACGACAGCGACTAATCTGTCAACAGGAAACTGATCCTAACATGAATCAGACCTATGAAAAGAAAATGCTCATCTAAAAAGACATTATAATCCAGTGCATGTGTCAATAAACTAGCCTACAAAAACGAGCAGCTTCAGTGACGAGAGCGGCGAGGGCTTTGTTCCCTCACGTCCACTTTAAAAAACGTATTTATAATCAGTGAATCAGCCCGTCCTAATGCAAAAACATTTCCCTTTTCTGACAGTGAACTTACACTGTGACCCCCCCACCCTCCACCACACGCTGAATGAATAAATACCACATTCCCTTTTTTTTTTAAAAATACAAACAGTTTTAAAAGTATTTTCTCAAGAACAGCACAGATAAACAAAATAAGACAAATTGTGTGTGTGGGAGCAGCAATAATAGCAATTTAAAAAGCAAATGCAGATTATAAAACATTCTGTGTGTTTGTTTGTTGGGGGGGGGGGTTATAATACATGTTGACTGTGTGTGTGTGTGTTTGATCAGTAATAAGACGGACCCTTTAACCCCATAAATCTTCAGTCCGGCCGAACTTGTAGATCAGAGTGCTGCAGGAAGGAGAAGAATAAGAAAACAACATCAAGAAGAGCTTCGGTGGACCTTTGAAAAGTGAAACCTTTGATATTTTTACACCATTATGTGTCATTATACCAAAAAAAAAGTGACAGATTCAGTGGATAAAAGGACGTTTCTAAGCTGCTGTTTCTGTGCAAAAGCTTCAAACAGGGTCGATGTTTGTTTTGTATTTTATGTGGTTTTCACCACGTTACGTCTGCTGTGTGTGATATTTATAATAATACCTATATATAATAATCAATAATTCCCATCAAATGCATTAAATCTAAAGTAATAAACCTGTTTGAAGCTGTAATTTGTAGAAAGTTCAAATATCTCTGTAAAAAAGGAAGTAAAAGTAAAAAAGTTGAAGACTGAAGTCTGAAAAATAAATACTCCATCTCACATCTTAAGTTAGCTATTAATAGCAAAATGCTGGCCAACTAGGTGGCCAATTTATTTTAATCATTAGCGAGTTGTTAAATGATTAGTGTTGGTGTGTTAGCAAAACCCTAGCTAACTATCTAGCTAATCTACATTATTTGTTAGATGGTTACTTAACTAATAAATAATGGAGCCAGTTGGCTAGCATTTATTTATTTACAACTTAATATACATCTCTTTTGTCTTTTAAACACAGATGGATTTTACAGAGGAGCTGATGTTTCACTGCTTTAAAACATGACATCGTTGTACATTTGTCCGTTAATCTGAACAGAAATGAGACCAACACAAACACCAAAATGAACCCAGGATAGCAAAATATAAAGGGATGTTTTTAAGCTCTAATTTACAGAGGGTGGATGTTTAAATCAATTTTGGGGGTTAATTAAAATGTAAATGATTTAATATTTGACTGCTGCTTACAGTATTCATGTCATACTCACCTAAAAAAGATGAAGGCATTCTGAAAGAACACAGCCAGCCCGGGCGCCACTTCTTTCTCTAAAATAAAAGTGAAACCAAAAACGAGATCGCAGTCAGTAACAACGGTAATTAAGGGAGGGGGATTTCTGAAACTGTAAACTGTTCTGTTTGCTCGACTGAGCCGCAATCAACAGACTGTGACTTCGTTCAGCTCCTCGGGGGAAGGGAAGGGAAGGGAAGTCACTTGATTACCGAATAGTACAAACCATGGTGGAAATGGTGGCTAATGTGAGGCAATTTTACCCTAAATGGAACCATCAGTTACTAAATGAACATCATGCTGCTAGCTGCCTCCATTTGCATACTAATAAAGGAGACAGTGAGAGTGTTAACAATTATCATTTACATACAGCGTAGTATTCAAACGTGACCTTTGTCAGCAGGAGAATGAGATGGAGGTCATTGGAGATAATTAGACTCATTAACTCTCCAATCTACGGACTCAGCTACAGTCACAGAATATAATTTAATACGTTTTGTGTTCGTCTCATTTAAAAAATGAGCCGGTAGCTCCTTAAAACCTGCCACATTTTTGTGCTTTAATCCATCTTTATTGCTGAAAACATCATTATAATTATGTTATCATTTGAATTTAAAGAAACCTTTACGTTCATACTACTTTAAAGCAAAGCACCAATATTACTTAGTTCAAGAAGAGGCACATATGTAGGGTTATTTATAGGAATAAACTACTTCCTCCTTTTTTGAACATGTTAAGATCTATTTTGTCTTGTTTTTGATTGGGTTTAATGTTTAAGAGCTGAGACAAACTCAGATCGACTGGATTCAGGAGATTTTGATTTATAGAAACCATGGTTCTGTAAACCAGCGACCCGACGGCGCTGCAGAGCCTCAGGTTTGACAAAATGAACTAGAATCTGTCTGTAAAGCGCCATCACACTCAGAGGAACCCGTTAACGCTGCTGTGTGAGAGAACCACATAATGACACTGACGATTGAAGCCCCCTCGCCTCCTCCGGTCTGAGCGATGAAAATGGATTTCTAAGTTGTTTCTTTAGTTGTCTGTCAGCATAATACATAAAAAGGTCACCAGGCAGGACGGAGTGAGCTGCACAGGTCTAATAATAATAATAATAATAATAATAATAATAGTAATAGTTACTCTGCCAACAACTAGCATCAGACTGAATAAGGGCCAGCAGGAAGTGGTGATAATGAGATGGTGAGGAAAATGTGGCGTTCAAGCGGAGAGGGACACTCACTCGGCACCACGTAGCCACCGAACAGGATCCAGATGGAGGCGATGAGCGAGCCAAACATCATCATGAAGCCGATGAACAGCCACAGACGAGCTCCTGCGAGGACAGAGACACGCTGATCACTTTCATTAGCTCATCAGCTGCTCTTTCACTGTCTGACAGCCGAACACGCCCACAGCATACAGCGCTGGCAACGAGGCCCGGTCCAAACAGTAGGTCGGAAAACAGAACCACTGCAGTGCTTTGTGGGTATTAAAGCAATATAAACTGACTCAAAATCATCCATTAATGATGTTTTTGCCCTGAGGATGTGACATGATTAATCCTAACACACATTTATCTCTCACAAGGGTCGGGTACCGAACTCCGTGCTGAATTTCGGTACCTGGGAGAGCACAGAGAGAAACTGGTAACACTTCTAACCTCAAGAGACACCTGGTCAAGCACAAAAAAAACAGAAATATAAGCCATGTTTGAATAATTAAGTGCCCTGCAGCCAGCGCTGAAGATGAAGTCAGACATCGACATCTTAAGAGGTTTTTTATTAGGTTAATATGCTGTGAAAAAGGTGATAAAATTAATTTTTACAAATTAAATTAAATGTTTTTTGATCACAGAGAGAGCATAAAGTATGTCAACATGCAAAAGTGCTCTTTAAAATGTAGCTTGGGTGGATTTGGAACCAGTTATAAAATAAAATATTGTATAAAAAGCCAGTGTTTCTTAATTATTTCTAGTATTGGCTGAAAATGCAGCTTAAATGTTAAATTATTTAACATTTTAAAGTTATTTGTTTAAGAAAAGCAGCTTCACATCGGTGCAAAATCCGGCTATTTTTCATTCCAGCTCAAAATCTTTCCCCTATAAAAACCTGTATCGGTATCGGCCCTTTCGGAAAACCCTCATTGGTCGGACTCCATTTTCACTGCACTCGTTAACTGCCTCAAAAACCTCACAGAAGAAGAAGCAAAACAGCTGAAAAAACTCTGACAAAGAAGTGAAAAAGAAAGTGAAAACTGGGACTAAAAATACCGTCAGTATCAGGAAGAATATGGTTTATTGGCATTAAACAAGCTGCTCACAACACGTGGTGCTTTCACAGTTACACAGCGCTCTAATGTACTTCTTAATATTGGCTTTGTTCATGTATCGTTTTAGCATTTATCTCCATTAATTAACTTTAAAAGCAGTGAAAGCGACTTTCAGCAGTGCGACAACAACAGCAGAGTTACAGAGGATCTTTTTATATTGCAGCTGTTTTGAGCTCTTTTAAAAGCTGCAGCAGATGTTTGATGAGAAGAGATTTACATGCAAGCAGCATTGTGCTAAAAGAAAGGAATTAAAAAGCTGCAGCGCAATTAACTCTTACACATAAATAAACAACAGACTTTAAAGACTTTAAAGACAAAACACACACCTGTCCTGCCAAGGCAGCCCTCGCCGTATGTGTCTCCTCTCACCTGGCCGTTAGAAACCGCATTGATCCTGAAAATAAAGACAGTCAACAGTAAGTTAAAGAGTATAAATCCATCCTGAAGATTCACTAACAGGAAAACTAATTACTACATTATTTTATACTTTCTTTGTAGATTTGATATTTTATTGAACCATACGTTGATTAAAAAGCCACTGACCAAAGTGGAAATGTCTAAAATACACTTAACGTACACTGCAATGGTATTTAGTCTTTATTTGTCTCCACAATGCCAGATTTGGTGTGAATACGGCCAAGGTCTCTTTCTTTTACTTTTTTACAGCATTGCAGTTGAGTTGAGTTTAGGTGTAGAATCATAAAATTGTTGAGAAATTATATCACAAAATCAGCCGGCTGTCTGGGATCCGACTTCCACTTTGGAAGCTTAGAAGTTTTGCCGTGTTTAATGTTGTTTTAGTGTTCATTTTGATGTTTAGCCGACTGAACTTTGCTTTAGCATGTTGCTGAAGTGGCTGCTGCTAAAGCTGTAATACTGTTGAGAGAAACTGTGTGAAACCTCATCTGAAGCCAGTTAATTAAGGACAGTAGTGGTTTGGATGCCAGTAACTGACCATCAGGCACTGGTTCTTTGAGGGATCCCATTATTAAACTGACTCAGTGACTCATTTTATGGAAAACTGATCAATGAACCCAGACAGTGAACTCAGTAACTGCAGGAAGTTTGTGTAAAAACGAGTTAATTTTGAGCAGATTATTTACTTTTCATACAATTCTTTGTCTGTATTATGTATTTTCTGGGGGACTTTGGGAAGAATCGTTTTATTTCTGCAGATCTACGTGGGCGTCCAGCACTTACATGAAGAACGCTATGGTGGAGAAGACGCCGCATGTGTGGAAGGCGTGGTTCATCTTCTCCTGGGAAGGATACGTCACCGCTGCGTCAATCATGATCCACCAGCCTGTGAAGAACTGAGGGATAAAAAAAGAGATTTCAGGGTTGATGTCGGACGTGTGACGCGGCTCCGTTAGCTGACTCAGATTAATGGCGTGTTGGTGGAAGCTGTACAGGCAGACGGACGGTTACAGTTGGCTCATTATGTGAGGCGTAGGGGAAGACAATGCTGGCTCTATGGCGGTCAGGAAAAACATTAAATCTGCTCGTAAAACTGGAACAGAAGAATGAGTCAAGCTTCAGAAGAATACTTATCCTTCAGAGAGTATGACACAATGCCGGTTGAACTGAGAAATAATGTACTGACTCAACTTATCAAGAACTTCCTTTTTTATGTGCATACAGTTACTGTGAGACGGCATCATCGACCACGGATTCACCGACGGGTTTCCTCTAAATGAAAATGTTGGAATATCCCTCTTTACCTCGCCGTTTACTGCCGAGATGCTGCGACATTAACGTGAATCAGCTGTATTCGCTGCTAACGTCACTTTAACCAGAGAAGTCCCACCCACACACACGCACACACACACACACGCACACACACACACACACACGCACAGCAGCTCACACACACACACCGCGACCACACACACACACACCACCCCCCCGCGCACCACGCCAGTACCACACAGCGCGCCCCGGCGGGTGGTTTCAGGCTCTCGGTTCCTAAGATGCATTTTATGTTGGTGCGAGAGGGTCGTATTTCATAAATTCTAGATGGTTCGACGGGTTTAGGGGGATTTTTTGGGGAATTTACGGATTGATTATTTAAAATATCTATAAAAGAAATAAGCTTTTTTCTCATTAAAACTACTTTTTTCTTGTATTAGTAGGACTTTATTCTTGTAACATTGTGACTCTTATTCTCGTATTATTACGAATTTATTCTGGTAATTTCCAAGTGAGTTTTGGTAGCTTTCATGGCCAAATCAGCAGGACCGGACATTAAGAACAGACTTTACCCGTCATACAAAGTCCTTCTAATGTCTGATTGAGCCTTTTGATGATCAGAGCAGGTTATTAGAGAAGGAACTGGATCCGGGATGAGACAAGCTACTGGAACTCAACCCTCATCATTCCTGACAGAGGCTGTATCACGTTTCATTCACACCAAGTGTGACGTCAGTCTGTAGTGCGTTTCAATGCCCAGATGGATATTAGATTATCAAGAATATGAATACAGAGTATACAGTGTGAGCTTACTGCCCCAACTGACCACAGTTTTAGCCAGTTTTTTCTTTTTTTCACTATTTTTGTTTTGTGTTATTTCACCACAAAATGCACTTCAGAGAATATCTGAATCGAGGAATCAACTGTGTAGATTGCAAATAGTTGCAAATTAATCTGTTCTGCTTTAGGTAAACTTTATCAGATAACTTACAGCCAGAGACAAACGTATAGACCGCAACATCCTTCCTCAGCTCAGCAGCCTCCTCGTCTGCTTCTCAGTGAAACAAACCATCTTAATACTGCATCTGTGATATTAATATACATTCTTTATTCCTCTTAACAGTAGCCTTTAATGCCTCTCTCCTCCTCGTTTAATTTGGCTGAAAATACACGTTAGTAATAAACTATTTTCATTCACTGTAATGTAACTGTGATCAGTCTCCACAGCTCTGTGTCGGAGCTGGTTGTGATGAACTCCCGCGTGAACAGTCGGCATGCTTAATCCTTAATGTAGTCGGCTGTATGCAGCACATAGTACACGTTACTGAGTATAAAGTCCTCAGAGCCTAAGAACATGTCCACACTGAAGACAGGTCAAACCTTCTCTGTAAGGGTTCATTTTAAAGGTCAGTATAGGCGAATACACGACACAGCTGCTGTCTTTAATCTGGTTTTATGATGATTTTGTTGAAACCATGAAACAATTATTTGGATGTAACGTTAGACTCATGAATTCAAGATTTTCTCAGGATTTTTTGTAACACAAAAAGACTGAAGACAAATTATAACTGAAAAAGAGAATCAACTATGTAAAACATTACAGCTTTTCTTTGTAAAAGTGAAACTGAAAATACAACCCTGTCAGCTACGGGAACCGGCCTCATATCTCAAGTCTTCAACTTCTGCCGCCATGTGTTTGTGCCTTGTTACAGTAAGCAATCTGTTTCAAAAGAGTATCACAATCTCGCTAAGTTAGATTCCTGTAACCGTCCCGGTCCTCTCCACACGCCGGCTGTGCTTCAGTTTGGTTGTTTGCTAACAGAAAAGAAGACGAAGGCGAAGACATTTAACTGTTTTTATGTTTCACTGCGGACAAACGTCTTCACTAAAATCAACCTGAGAGAGAGAGAGAAAGCGAAAACAGATGAAAGGCTGGTTATCAACTGGTTATCATGTGTCTGAATCTCTAACTCATTTACAGACTGTAGAGTGTAAAATCTGTACTGTAATGTAAATGCAGTGAGTGGGAGAAGCTTTGCCTCGTGTAACCTGACAGCAGTGAATAATAACCAGAGGATTTTAAGTTCATGATCCATCAAACAGAACAGAGATTCTTTCCAAATGACTGAGCAGTGTTTGGGAAATTAATCTACAGTTATTATTCAAATGTGTGTGTATCGCACGTGAGCTAATAAGAAGTTTCAGATCATTATCGACTCAAATAAACCTCGGAGGAAACGAGCTAATTTCTTGCTGTCAGGGTGTTAATATCTCAAACCATTCTGAATGTAATTTAAAACCTATTTTACGTCCACACTGCCAAATAAATACAAAGGATGTGAAAGAAAATCAGTGCTGGTTTCAATTTGAAGTTGTTACATTACGATCAATACAATCTTTCCCCGAAAACACATTTAAAAGAGAAACTCAATCAATTTATAACTTTTTTTAAAGGCCTAAAATTCAGATTATTGGATTTTAGACGTTTTATATTCAAACAGCAATCAGTGGTGGAGACGCTGTGCTCAACTTTTGCCAGAACAATGGTGACATTACATTTTCCTACCGTCTGTGTGTCTGATCACATGATTACACAGCTGAAGCCTCAGGATGTCTTCTACTCCTCTTTCACCACTTTTATTCACAGAAACTCTTGTCTTGCACGCAGGCTTTAATGCATGTACTGTCAAACCTCCAATAACAGCAGGTCTCCAACAGAGGCCTGGTCTGGATTTTATAGAAATGATCTCGATGTATAAAACCTCTTAAAACCCACCGGGTCGCCACTTGAGCGAGTTTTAAGTCGTTTTAATCTCCTACACAAGTATACTGCGGAGGTCTTCAGTGACGTGTCCTGAGCAATTATTGGTTCTTTATTTACGTTATTTGATCAAAATAATAGTGGTTGACATACGGAGAACTTACATACAGCACAAAATTCAAGACTTTTTAAGACTTTTTAAGAACCCTGTAGGAAAAAAAGTGCGACTTATAGTCCAGAAAATCCGGTAGTGGAGTTCGATTGAATTATTATTATTACTATAATGACAAACAGCTGATATGAAGTCGTTCAGTCGTCCTCACTCACCAGGACTCCAGCGACGATCGAGGCCACCGCGTTCCTCCTCTCCCCCCAGTCGATGCATTCCCACTCCGGCCAGCGGAAGTTATCCAGAAAGCCCGCCATCTGAAAGTCCTCTTCGAGTCCAGCTCCTTCTCTTCCTCTGCCGAACCGGTCCTCCTTCCTGACCCAGTACGCTCTTCTTCTCCGACTTCTGGGCTGAGATCAAAGTGTCCTGCAGTGGAACGACACGTCGTGTTAACGTCTACTGCATACAGATGTGTAACAGCTGTTTCTGCGTCTGCCAGGTGTGAGGGACAGGTAACCTACGTTTGGTGGCCACAAATATAAACGTCTGTAGGAGAAGTTATTTAACAGAAAGGATGTTTGAGAAGTTCCTGTTTTTATTCAATTAAAGGCAATAAAAGCCCCCAAATATAAAAAGGGGCAACCGACTCGGTCACATTAAACACTACTTATACAGACTATTGTGCCAATTAATCACAGACTTGCTGGCTTGTTTATCACAACGTATATTTATACAACTTCTAACATACTTAATTATTAGTTTATTATAGTAATTTATGGTTTTTATTACACATTCCTGCACAGTACAGCTCTTCATTCATTCCTTAAACGGTCATATTCTACATATTCTCTCTGTCTGTGTTTTAAATCTCCCTTTTTATTGTCTGTATTCGTGGTTTTCCATCATTTAGACAATAAGACAATAAACCCGGTTCTGTAAAGTGAAGCAGCTATAAAAGGTCCAAATTAAGAACAAATACTGGGTCACAAGTGTGCCGAATTACAGATTAAATGCTCCCCAGCTACTATCAGATTAAAGTTTTCACCATTTAAGACCTTTTAGTATTTTAAACGTTATAATAGTTAAACTTCTCTTTTTCCGAAGGGAGTTCGGCGCATCGGGAACAGCAGCACTACTGTTCACCTCCGTCTGTTCGGGGTTATTTACCAATAAACAACAGATTAAAGCTTTAACAACCCTCACA